AAACACTGACAAACCAATAACACAAAAATCAGAATATGTAACTTCGTTTCTTCGCAAGGACTTCCTTACATCTAACAAAATTATTCTGAATTCTAAACCGTACTTTCTGAATATTCGAAGAGTATTTCTCGCAGTTTTCATCACAATCTTCCACTTATCATCATCACCACCACCAGCATCATTATCGCCATTATCATCATTGTCATTATCAACATCACCAGCGTTTGATTGGCCGTGTGGCATCATCGTTTTTTGGCGGAACAACAAGAAGAACACTTATTGAATCGCGTTTGCAGTGGACACTTGAGGTATGCACATACATTTTGTGTGTGTGCTTTGGTGACTTCCTCAGAAAAACCAATTCATTGACTGGTGTACGCTTGAGTACCCTCGACCTCCTCCCTCACCAGGCAGCACTTCCTATTGATGCTTTTTCATTTTTCTCTTAATTGGTCGGTTTATTTACTTACCGCGGCCAGATCCATCTCCTTCGACCGACCAGGAAGACTCCGCTTGGGAGGCACAGGTGCACCGAGGTAAACACGAAAAAAATTACCTTTTTAAAATGGACCTATCGTACTGTCTGTATGTGTATGTGTGTGTGTGTGTATGTCTGTTTGTGTGTATCTTACTTGCTTGAGTAGTGCACATGTGTGTGCTTGTTTTTATAAAAACTGTAAAAGCTACTAATAACATTAAAAGGTACTTAAAAATTCATGGATTGCAAGCTTTCCCAGAGTTCTTTTGCTTTTATATATATAGAGCAGTGAAGTTACACGAATTTGACTTTAGAAAACATAAAGGATAAATATCAAGGATTTTTTTGGGAATCCAGCAATTTTCACTTCTCCCACATTTCCACGAATAGTGATTTCCGATCCCAAGAAGCATTTGGGAGCTTGTTTTTGCCTTTTTTTTGCTTGCCAGGAAGGAGTCAAGGGAAACTTGCGCACTTTACCAAGAAAAGACAAACAAATAAAAATTTTTGAAAACGTGATCCGTTCGTCCAGAGTAACATGGGCATCTTCTCACTTCTCTTCCGCTTCTCCCCTTCTCCTCCCTGGCCAAATCCGAGGAACACTATGATCAATTTTAAAGGAAGGTCCTTACTTAAGAGATTTTTTAGACAAGGAGATTTTTTTTTGGTCTGCAGTTTTGGAGTGAAGAAGGAGCCTGTTTGTATTTGCCTTGGAAAGCTTGCACTTCGGAAATCTCCAGTGCACGGCATCGTGAGAGGCCCATAACGTTGGTCAGAAATGTGCATCATCAGTGAGTGAGTGAGTGAGAGAGGAAAACCTAAAAGTCTCCATAAATCTTTTAGTCACTCGTGCGCCTTCTTTTTGCTGCCTGAGTATTCAAGAGCTCCCACAGGGGCACTTGAAGTGCATAAAAAGGGCAGCATTGCCGAGGCGTCCGGGAGTGAGGCTTCCTGGTGGTGGCTAACTCTTTACATAAGTGACAAATAGAGAGGAGGTGGCACAAACACGCCGCGATTTAGGCTATTTTTTTGCGTCATACTGGCAGCTAACAACAAATTTTACCGCATTTACGAGGTAACGATGTATTTAAACATACTTCAAGTAATGGTGCTGGCAAATTTCGCCGATAGTGCTGCCCTCGGGTGGGAAAACTGATCCCTCTATGATTCGTTGATAAGTCTGTATGATAAATTGGAAGTGATATATGTTAGGAGTCAGAAGCCTCAGTAGAGACAGGTGTGTGCGATGAGTGTTGTTGCTAGTTTGGCACCACGCCAACTTCTCGTAGAGGCTGAATTACGGAGGAAATTTTGTTTTTGATTTGTACACTGTAGGATGTTGTTTTTGATGTTTGCTCATCAACAAAGGAGTTTTTTTTTTTTGTTGTAGCTGGAGCTGTGCAAATGGATCACGCTGAGTTAGTCGCGGAATTGAGTGAAATCGAGAAGATGACGCCGGCCGAGCGCATCGCCCTCGCACGGTTCGTTCTCGTAATTTTTCTTCTAAAATCTTTTTCTCGACCTTTCTTTTTTTGTTTTCTTTCGGATAACAGGCTTTCATGTGTTAAAGTACTTTGTTTTCTGTTTAAAATGAGGATTTACAACTTCGGTCTTAGGCTTTTGCACCGACAGCTCTTATTCGAAAGCATGTTGCATCTCTTTTCTGTTTTTTGGCCTACACATGGAGCACTAGGTTTCACTGTTCACTTTGGGGAGCATTTTCGATAAATTCTTATTGATATCAATTTACTTAAAACGATGAATTCCTTGGTGCAAAATTTCAGTGAACGCCGGAGGTTACAGCTTCGGAACTGGGATGACCGTGAGAAGCAGATGACACCAGCGCCGCCACGCAGACAGCGTCTAAAATTCAGTCCCGAAGTATCGTTGCTGGAAGCTACGAGCAGAGGAGACGCTGCTGAAGGTTAGCTCCTTTGGATTCTATTTGACATCGGTGATGAGGTAAATTACATTCAAAATATGTGCCTCATCTAAGCAGTTGATAACTTTTTCACTGACCAGTGCTGCATCGCCCGGTGATCAGTCAGCTGACGACCCGTACGATCTTTTATGCATTTTTTTTGTCTGCTGATGGGATTACCAGCTTAAAAATTCTCTCTCAAAAAAAAATACATGAGAACTGTGGCGGCTTCAGAATGTTTTTGTTTTGTGTTGAACATCATCTCACCCCTTTTGAGGCGTTTTACCCAGTTAAGATGTACTTATTTGTCGTTTTTGTGTGTAAAAATAAAAAGTGACGGAAAAAAGTGTGAAATTATTTATAGTTGAGCGGCTATTGCTGGAAGGGGCGAATCCGAATTCACACAACGAGGATGGATTAACGCCACTTCATCAGGCAAGCGTCCCAATCATTCCCTGTTGTTGCACTTTTTTTTCAGTGCACAGCATAAAGTAAAGTGGAACTATTTTTTGATTTAATTGAACCGAAAGTAAATTTGTGACGGTGTAGATACGAAAAGTGCAAACAGTGGTAGAGTGCCGTCGCTCTTCGTTTACTTGGAACCGTGATTCTTCATCCGTGTAGCTGATGAAATTTTTTATTCCTTTAACCAATGCCCCATTGCCTACTGGTCAATTTTGCTTGTGGTTCATAAATTCATTTGATCTCCTGAAGAGATTACCAGTCCGACGATTCTCTCCTCTGAAGCACCTAGCAAGACGTTTCGAAATAACCTCAGAATGTGTTGACTATCATCTCCGACTACGACGAAGGTGCCTTGTTGTCCAGAGCGCTCAGACCGCTTTGAGGAAAAAATAATTGGCCA